AATATTAATAATAATTTTATTTACCAGGAGTTAAAGGAACAAAATAGTACTTGATCTAAGCATCCTCCACTTAATTTTCATTCTTTATCTTATGCTTAGTATTTCACAGTAAAAACGATGCACTTGCATATAATATGAAGTGCAATTTTACAAATGTGGTTTAAAGAAACCTAAAAATGGGGGAAGCGGTGTGAAGGCAATTGAAGAAATCTTGATAAAATGTCTTGGTCCCTCATGGTACTCCCATACGTTTTCGTAGGAACCAGGAAGGGCATTGTTAAACAGGGATAAAAAGGCAGGACATAGGCAATGTATCTAGGGCTCTCAAAGCAATAAATTCTTCAGACCAGAGCATGTAGGTGACTCTTGTAGTTGTCTCTAACAGTATGAACCAGAAAGATGGAGCTTTAAAAACTCTCCAGGCTCCACAAGCCAAGGGGCTGATTGCAGAGCTTGCTTCTGGGGAAGAGATGACATATAAAACGTCAGAGTGATCTGAGAGGAGTGTCAATGCATTTAATTTCTTTAGCTTTCTTCTATTATTTATTTAGCCTACATTTGCAATATATATATTTAGCCACAGCCTACAATTATTCAACTTTATCATCTGACCCATCCTAGACAGTGTGTGTACAGCAGTCCTTAAAACCACAGGTGCAGTTCAGACCTGCACTTGTAGCAGGGCTTAGGGGCAGCTAGAGTTTAATAGGTGGCCAGCCACCAGTGAGCCAGCTCGCTTAGGAACTGCTAGCACTGAAGTCTCTGACATGTAAGGGCTGGGAGAGCTTTCAGGAAAGCCACAGGCTAATAGGAAACATGCCTGAGCCACATAGATTTTTATGGAATTTATTACGGTTAGAATAAAAATTATTTTTAAAAAAATGGAATGGTGGGAGGGGGAGAACATTAGGGCAAAGGAATGAGAGACGTTCTTAAATAGAAGAACATTCATTCTAACTGGGCAATGGTGGCTAAGAACATCACCTTAATTTAAATCTCAGTAACAGTTTCATACATTTTAAAATGTCTGTTTTAGCACACTCGCACACTGTATCAGGTGTATGACTTGATCTAGAATGAAAGTTCCCTTCCATTCTTAACTACATTGTTTGTGTTTTCTGCTCACATCAGTATTGTAACAGCCTTTATGAAAATGTGTTTGTATGCTGAGTTGTGATGAAACTGGCACCATGCAAACCTTGAAGGATGAAAATCGCAGTGTTGCTTCAGGCTCAGGCCATTTCTAATGAAGGCTTTGACACTGTGGTAGAAAGGCAAAATATTAAGTCATTTCCCATGGGGGTCTGTGTTGAAAATATGGCAGTGAAGTGGTACTCAAGTCTTAAGAAATGCTGCTGCATTTTGGACAAATACCACTGTTTAAAGTGGATGGCTGTGAATTTTTTGTAAAATACAAGTGTGTTTGATTGTGACATTATAAATACTGTTCTAATATATGTATCTTTTAATTAGGTTAGTACCCTTGGATTCACAATCGGAGATAAAGTAGATGGTCCATTCCAGCTGGAGATTGATTTTATTGGCCTGCTGAA